CAAGGTGAAGTGTTGTCTCTTCCATATGCTGAGGCAGCAGCACACCTTGGCCAAATGTAATGTGCAGTCGTGCAACCAACTGCAAGGGCCATTAACATGACCCGAATGGGGCGGCAAGCATTTTGGGGGGTTCGAACGCAATCAGTATGGCAAAATTTGGTTAGGGGCAACGACAAACCAATGTCGTGGCTGACTTGATTGAGGCAAAAACATGGCAGTTTCTAAGCCAGTTATTGCATGTTAGTTGGAAGCAATTATCCATGATGGGCAAAGACAACGGCAAAGTCGGACAATCTGGAATCAAGGCTTGAAACATGCAGCATGTAAGAGCAAGTTAATGCTCATGAAATCTGTCCTAGGTCCCAGTCAGTTGGCGGGTGTCAAACCTGCCATGCCACACTTGCATCGCTCTCCTTGTAATGCTGCGTTGTAAGTTGAAACTGATTGTAAGCCTATTTAGCATAGCATGGAACTTGAAAATTAACTAGTGTTGAATAAGAGTTTCCATAGGCATCTTTGTATTGTTGTTTACGAATTAATAAAGGTTGGAGTTTTCCTGAATCACTGTGTTGCCTATTCTTATTAGTTAGCAACGCTACGTTTTGATGTGTGTGTCATTCATATTTTGGCTGAGACTAAGTGTCCACTTAGTGCCATTACAGGCTAGAATTTTGAAACAAAAATTGACCCTGTAACAATTGGTATCAGAGCACAGGTTTTGCTCTAATGGTGTTCTGGCATGGATGCCTTAAAAGACAGGGGTAAGCTCGTTGGAAAATTTGTTTTGGTGACCCCAAATTTGGTTTCCAAACACTTTGGGAATAAAATGATCAAACCCAAAGACTTACCTCAAACTCCAAAGGTGTGAGAACCAAACCATCTTAGTGTCATTTCTTATGACAAGATAGAACTACTCTTTAGCCAAGCTAAACTTTGTCTATCAAGAAAACCAAACAGTTCCAAACTTACACAACAATTTAAAAAAACTTGCTATAACAATTTACCCGCATATAAAATGCTTGTACAAGAACAGCAAAATAAAGACTTGTTATCACAAATTGATAACAAACCACTTACATCTTCAAGCAAAAAAACATGGCTTCAAACATTCTTAAATTAAAATAGTCAAACCATAAGGGATTTCTATTTAGTCAAAAGCCCTTTCTACGCTTAGGTATACCTAATTCAAGCACAAAAGTTAGTAGTCCAACATTTTTGTTTTTACATCCCAAATACTATTCTCATTTGGTTTTATATTTGTTTTTTGCATTGGTATCCCTACAACAAGAAGTTAGTTAGCAAACCCACAACAAATAACAAACAAATAATTCTAAAAAATTTAATTATAATAATTAATATTGAAACATTAGCCAACATTACATATATCAGTAACCAAACTCAATATAAGGTTACCAAACAAAATACAATTTGTAACTTCAAAATTAAATTACAACTTTAAAATATAAGTTCAATACTCATGAGTCATGAATGAAATTAATTCATAACAAAATTTAAACTAATAACTCCAAATAGATAAGTCAAATTCAAAGTTAATGCACCCAATTAAATAATTCAGATTAATGCACCTAATTAAATATTTCAGATTAATGCACCTAATTAAATAATTCAGGTTAATGCACCAAATAAGATAATTTAGATTAATGCACCCATTAAATAATTCAGATTAATGTACCTAATTAAATAATTCAGATTAATGCACCTAAATTAAATAATTCAGATTAATCGCACCCAAATAAATAATTTAGATTTGCACCTAATTAATAATTCAGATTAATGCACCCATTAGATAATGTTAGATTAATGCACCAATTAAATAATTCATATTAATGCACACAATTAGATAATTTAGATTAATCATGTACACATTTCATAAAACTTCTATAACTCCAAATCACATTAAATTATGTAATCTAGCTTAGAAAATAATAAGTATGTAACAAATTGAGACTAGAATAGAATTAGCATGTCAAAATTGTAACTTCCCATAAATTATATTTTAATAACCTTAAATTCATGCAAATCAATGGTAGGGAAATGATGAACCGATACGCATAAAACAAGATCATACTAATACAATTAAGTATGGCAAATTATTAATAGAGCAATTTAATTAAACTAAGCAATTAGAGAGTACCATTGCATAATTTCAATTATGAAATAGTGAGCACTCCGCAACAATTCTAATAACATTATACAAAGCTATCTAATAGTCTATATAAATCTATTCGATTCAATTTCATAGAAAAGATATATAAAATCTGTTTTAAGGCTCTGTTTAAAAATTGTGAAATTAAAAAATTAGATTTATGAAGAAAACAAATATATACCAAGAACATATGCTGATAATTAGCAACTAAATTTCAAACAAAAATACACAAAAAACAATAAAGGGTAAAGAGACAAAACCAAGCCTGCACGGAAGCAGTTTCCTTAAAACAGATTTCGCGTCCCTCACGGGTCGACGTGCTTGAGGAAACTCCGGCATCTGTCTCCCAGGATACGACGGTCAAAAACCAACTACGGCAGAAAGCACTATCTGTCTAGCTTAGCGAACAAACAATGGCAGCACTCTCTCAATATAGGAACTATCAAGCAACTGAATTGTAAATGGAAGCAAAATTTCTATTTGAAACTTGATAGGAGGTCTCAATTTATACATGTATAGGGGGAGAGAGGAAAAGCCTCCAGCCTTTCAAGGCTAGTCATTAAAACACCAGAGCTCCATATGCCCTTCACAAAATGAAAAGTATGGATGCCTAAGGATTCACACCCTTAGCCAAGAAAAAAAAAGATTTAAATACTCTTTAAAATCCTATTTATGAATCTAACATCATGAAGCATTTCTTGCAATTTCTTATTCAAAACCTAATGATTTTTTGGCTCACTTGGACCAACACAAAAATGGTTAGGACCCACTTTTAATATTTAATTAAAGTCACCACACTGTTAATATTAAATTAAGGTCCCCCAAAATCTTGTTTTTCCAACAGTATTTCATTAGATGCTTTTAATATGAACTAAAACTTATACAGATGATGGGGGAGACTCTGAAATAATTAAGAGAATATTATTTTAATTGAAATATATGACATATTATGATTTTGTTTATGACTAACAAATTATTAATAAAAAAATGAATGAATATATATGATTAAAAAACCTCAATAAAAATGCAATGTGATTATGTTAATGTGTGAGATGAATTATATATATTTTAAATTTTAGGAGAGGTGAGTGTCATTTACCCAATATAAAAAAACTATTTATGTATGTATTTCATTATGGATTTTGGTAGGAATATAAAAAGGAAAAGACGAAAAGGCCAATGAAATATAACTCACATTTCTCTTACATTTTTTTATGTCCATTTTTAAATTTATTTAAATTTATAATCTAAACACAACCTATTTACCTCATTATTGGCCTGATGGCCCCGCTAAGTCCAACCCAATATTTTTAAAGTTTGGAAAATTTATTTGTTCCATAGGACACGGTAAAACTGGGTTGAGATTTATACCATTTAATATTCAAGTTAGGCTTGGAATAAATAATTTTAACCTCAGCTTGGCTCACTCACCACACAATTATAAAATACTAATTATAATTTTATATTATTTTAGTTATAATTAAAGTAAAAAAAATGTAAAAGACAAAAAATATATATATACACTTCTTTTTAGAACTTAAATTGAAAAAAATTATTAAAAATTATATTTTTACTATTGAATTTTATTAACATTTCAAATTCAAATTCAAATAATAAATTATAAATAAAATAATCTGAATAATTTAATATCTATTAAAAACAAATAAAATAAAAAAAAAAACTCATATTTATTGGTTTAAATAAGAGGATTTGTGATTTGAAATATTTAGAGAGTTAGACTTAGAGCATCTTCAATCATTCATTAAATATTTTATCAAATTTGAATAAAAATATGAGTAAAAGTTTAATATGATGCACTCTAACCCTTTTATCAAATATCGTCTGTCTAAAGTAAATTTTCATCAAATTCATCTGAAAATCGATTGTCCAGTAAGATGTTTGGCCTAACAGTCACCTACAAATTTGATGAAAGGAGAAACACTTATTTCATTTGATGAAAAAAGCATCGCTTATTCCATTTGATATCAAGCTGATGAAACGATTAAAATATCATTTTTATTATTTTTTTTTATTAAATTTAAATTTGACAAGACTGGAGATGGTCATTTCTAACGTTTCACTCAAAATTTTTTATCAAATTTCACTTAAATTTGATAAAAAAATTTGATTTGATATCGCGCATTTCAATGGAGTGATTTAAGATTTCATCAAATCACCGATCGACATAGAGGACGACCGGCCAGCAGATTGGCTAGTGTAATTTTTTCATAATTTTTTACAAAGAAGTAGTCATTCAAGGGGACAACCAGCCGGTCGTCCAGTGGTGAAAATAGCTTGTAGTTCCAACGGCCATGAATAGTAATTTGATGAAAGGCAAACTCATCTTCAATTTAATGAAAAATTTGAAAATTTTTAAATTTAATGAAATATTTGGTACTGAATTGGAGCATTAAAATGTAAATTTTTTTATTAAATTTAAATTTAATGAAAGATTTTGGCCTCGTTTGAGAATAAACTATTTTAGTAATTTTTTGACTTTTTACGAAAAGATGTACAGAAAAGCAAAGAGGTGATGTGACTAATTTTAGTTGACTTTTTAACTTTTTAACTAAAATAATCACTTCCCAAACGAGGCCTTAGCGTTGGATTGAAGGTGGTTAGACGGTCTAAACTACTGTAACGGGTCCAAGCTTGGCCGGATCTGAGATTCGTCCCGAGGTTGGTTCGCTCCTAACGTTTTCCAATGTGAGCTGAGCTGAATAAAACCAAACTAATGGTAGTTGGTTTGACTTGTACATTGTTTACCAGTCTTTTATTTATTTATTTATTTATTATTATTATATATACACCATTTGGTAATCTAACCTCACCCTCCAAACTTACTCCATTGACACCGTCTCTTTGTCACCTTCCCACCAAAACCCAGAATTTTCTCATACGTATATAGGGTAGCTGACGGGTAAAGGGGTCCTCAAACAGATTTTGGCGTCTGCTGCTCGCTTGAAAAGTACTAGCTACAACAAGAAAAACCCCTCTTCCTCCTCGTCATTCTTCTATTCATCGTATACGTTAATCCAACATAACACAACCCAAACCCCCTTCTGCTATAAAATCATATATTAAACACTTTAGTGTTCGAATTTCAATGAGCCTCACTCCTTTCTCTCCTCCCTCCTTAACCGACCCAAAGGTCAGCTCTCTGTTTTTCTTTGACTCTGTTTTTGTTTTTGTTTTTGTAATCTAAGTTTTAAGCAGTTTCTGTTAATTTTACATTAATTGCACCATCAATTTTACGTTTTTTTTTTGTTCGTTTTGTTTCTTGAATTTTGACATATGAATAACTTATTATCGCTTCTGTTTGTGTAGTTTTTGTTTGGGTCTCTGGATTGATTTCTTTGCTTGATATCTTTCTTTCTGTTTTTTCTTCTAACTTCTTTAGTTTGATTAGGAGTTATCGACCCTGTTAATTTGAGCCTTTCTGGGTGATTATAGATATGGGTTTGGGGAAATATGCGATGTAGCAACAACAGAAATAGACATACAATTGAAAAAAACTTCAATTTGCAATTTATAGATTTGGGTTTGGGGTAATATGCGATGTTGCAACAACAGAAACAGAAACACAATTGGAAAGAAACTCCAATTTGCAATTTGTAGATATGGGTTTGGGGTAATTTGTGATGTTGTTGTTTGGGTTTGGTCTAGAAAAACCACCAGAAGAATCTGTGTAAAAGGCCTAGTTTTCTGGCTTGCTGACAGAGTGTTTGATTTTTGTTTTGTGTGAGATTCAACAAGCTTTTAAGAAATGGGTTGTTCGTTATTTGGAATTTAGTATCTCAGTTGCATTTGTTTGGTGATCAAAATGATTATTTACATGGTATTTGCTTAATTACTTCTATCAGGTTGGAGGAGATAGTGTCTGAATTCCATTATCAAGTTCTTTGGATTATTGCTTATAGTGTTAGAAATGGGAAAGCACTTATGGACTGAATCCGAAGACGAGCTATTTGAGGTTAATCGTCCAAGCTGCATGTGGGGAATAATTCATGCTCTTGATTGGCATAACAGTGTTAAGAAGATGCTACCCCACAAAAAGCATAATGGACCAAGACATACCAAAGGTAAGCAGTATATATTTCCACAGTGTGTCTCTTTCTTTCTTCTTCATTTCTAGCAGGAACTTTGGCAGTTCTGTTTACTGTGGAATTTGCATATGCAGTTTACTTTTGTAACCATTCATCAAGAAACACTCACTATCCAGTGAGCATACAACAAATAGAGTTACTAATCTCTCTTTTAATGAAATTTACTAGGATGTATTTCATTTTGACCTCATCAGTAAAATTCAGTGGCCAAGTGGTCATGATTGTCTTGACTTCTCTTTTGGAAAAAATGTTCCCCAGTAGCATAATGATTCTATAAATAAGGAGCATAATTTCCAAAAGAAAATTTAATGTAATCATGCTATGATTAAAAGTCTACAACATACATCACCATGTGATTATGAATGACATACAGGGTAATATCTCATGATTTCATGCTGTTTTTATTATTTTAGTCTTCACTGAAGCTTTGATTTTTGTTTGTTTTTTCCCCTCAACTATGCAACACTTGGGTACTTTTGGACTCATAATTAAACACAGCTTTATGCTTTATGCACAAATATATCCTTCATTTTCAGTGGCCTGCTAATGTTCCTCTGTTTTATGTGGGTTAGTATGAGCATGCGAGTACACATATCTATGTGCATACCTGAATTTCTATTTTCCGGGACACTTCAAGTATATGCATCCTTCAAATTTCAGCTGATGCTAGTGACTTGGGTCGATGAGGAGCTTCAGTGATCAATATGTCAAATCTTTGTAAACTTAAATGGGTTGAGTTTGGTTGCCACTAAATGTCTAATTGGGTACTAAGCCTAGTAACCTATGTATAATTGTTTTGAAATATGCCCGAACCTGTTTATTCTGTTCACCACATGCCCATGAATGTCTAATTGGGTGCTCAATTTCATTATTGACCAAAATGGAGTAAGTTTTTGGGTTGAACTTTTTCTTACCAGAATACTCAAAAGTGTAATTTAAAGACTTAAAAAGTACACAAATTATTTGAAATACGAGAGTAGAACAGTCAGGGAACTTATCCAATACGATGGGTTCAGGAGAAAAAACAAATATATATGGTGGGAGTTGGATATTATAGTTACATCAACATTTCTATCATTCCTGTGAAAATTTCAATATAAAAATCCGCATGATTAAATTCAGAAAACTTTGGGGTGAGTTTTTCTGCTAATAATATGTTTGGAGTTTGGATTTTTTTTCTTGTTACTTATTTGGAGATTAATTTCCTCTACAGCTACTGTTGAATGATTTCACATGCCATTCCTAGTGAAGCATTTCTTTTCCCGATTCTCATGCTCAGATGCTTTCATTTTTCAAATATGTTCAATTAGCAAAATCTAAATCCTCGGCAGAAATTTAATCTCTCCATTCAACACTTTCTTCTGGTGTGGGATGATACTGCTGCATACATCGTGTGTACTTTGTACCATTTCTTTGGCAATCTGTAGAAATCTATGAAGCATGGGTACTTCTAAAAACATGTTGTACTTACCCGTGTATGGTACCTCGTATGGTACTTTTACATACGTACTGGGTACACGAAACACGTATCCAAATTTTTTCTTCTTAATTTTTAGTGTACCCAGACATACCTAGTATATACTCAAGCCGTACCGTACCTCAATTAAAATAATATTTTCTTCTACTATAGAGATAAAACTCTTTTCACCAGACTTATTTTTTATTTTTAGTTTTATGCTTAGCATGATTTTAAAATTAAACTATAGTTTGTAAGTTATTTAATATATTGACATTTAATTTTGATTTATACCTTTACTTTTGGCATTAAATGTTAATTATAGATTGTTGGATCTTAACAAATTAAACCATTTAATTAATTTTTGCATTACTGTAAATTAAAAATAAATATTTTTTTACAAGCGTACCAAGTAGGGGTGAGCAGCGGATATACCGATCCGCCAAAACCGACCGAACCGAACCGATCCGCCGCATTTTGGACGGATGCGTGATGACGAGCGGACGGTTGCGGATTGATTTTCTCCAATCCGCCAAATTGGCGGACGGATGGCAGATTTGAGATTTTTTGGCCGCAATCGAACCGCCAAACCGCTAAATCGCGAGCACCCCTAGTAATTTATAAGACTTTGTATTTTCAATTTGTTTAAATATTATGTTTATGATTTCAATTAAAAAAGAGTTTAAATATTCTGTTGAAAAAAAGTTTTCAACTTGAATATATTTTTTGAATTGAAAAAAATAAACGTATTATGCATTACTGTAAATTAAAAATAAATATTTTTTTACATCGTACCAAGCAGTACCCCGTACCTTACCTTTTTTTGGATTTTACTGTATCGATGTACCTATATCGTATCAGTACCAGTACTCGTACTTGTACTCATACCCGTACCCGTGCTTCATACGTAGAAACTTTTTTTCTTTTTTCATTAAAAAGAAAAAACGAGGAAAAAATCAAATGCTAATCCTACTGGATGTTGTTAAACAAATTAATTTATATTTGTTTTGAGGGGTGCAATGTCGCTTTCTGTCCTCAAAACTCCAACTGGATGCTAATCATATGGCTTAATTTTGGTATGGAGGAATTCTTAGGTAGAAAATGGTGTTCTTCGTTGCATTGAGCTTGGGATGCATGTACTAAATTTTCTGTTCTGAATGTTCGCAATGATTTTGTTTTTTCTTAAATTTTGTAGGCTATGGCCGACCAAAAACAAGATTGAATGTCCAGGGTTTGGATGAAGTGGAAAATCTGCTGGATGCTGAAGGAAGTCACTTCATTGTAAGTTCATTTGATACATTTTAAATATGAATTTTCCAAGGAGTCACGACTGCTTCTGTACAAATGTAAAATATTGTATCTGGATGTAACAGCAAGTAAATTGACAGTGCATGCCTTACTGTGTAATAAATCAGATTGATCTGAGTACCACAAAAGCTAGCCCAACCAGAACCAACAAAAGGTCTCTCAAAGCTCGCTTAAAAGCATTAGTTTTTGAAGAGATTTCTAAAGAAGAGAGCTGCAGACGAAGGGGTTCAGGTTCTCCTCTACGATCACGGTTGCAGCGAACTTATTCAATCCATCACCGTGAATCTTTTGATCATGGTCATAATGGAGAAATAAACGGTTGGAGTCGCCCACTTGATTTCCTTCACAGCAATGCTGACAATGACACTAGTGCCACGAGATCGCAGGACCAAGGCAACACGAATGGCGCTGAAAAGTTTAATGTGGGTGGTTCTGATAATGTTTTGGAATGCTTGGAGCATGAACAGCTTGCTGAGAACCACACACTTCGCCCAGAGAAGTGTGAAATGGAAAAGGAAACTTCAGTAAACCAGAAACAGACGGAAGATAACCAGCAAAATGGAAATGCTTCGCATTACGAGTGTAAGGCGTATGTGGATGTTCTGGAAATATTTAGGGTAAACAAGGACATGTTTTTAAAAATTCTGCAAGACACAGATGATGGTATTGAAGATTGCTTCCATAATCTTCAGGCTTCTGAAACGCAAGCAAGATTAACTAAATCAGGGTCATATCCTACAGCTGATGTGTCAAGAACTAGAAATTTTAGATCTAGTACACTCAAAAACAAACAGAATGAAGTTTGGTCCTTCTCAAAGGGAGAGAAGTTGTTCGCTGGTGCTCAGGCACCAAGGTTAGTTGCATCCAAGTTTCCAAAGGATCTCTATGCAAAGTCAGAGGTTCTCATTGCTGATGATATTGGAGGCAAAATGAGAAATCAAGATGCATGTTTTTCTTCTACAGATTCAACTCAGGGACAGAATAAGCAAATGAGTAATACAAACATGTCCAGCAGTAGTTATGAAATTGATGGTTCTGGTTTTTATCTCAGAAAGGGTACACCAACCCATAGAAGAATGTCCTCTGTAAACGAATCACTGGGAAGATATGCTCAGTTGTTTCAGAATAGTTTCAGCAAAGAGGCCAAGTTGAATCACGCTAGTAGCTTAAAATTGACAAATGAATATGAGATTCCATCAGGTGGCCACGCTCCAATATCCTTCAAAAGGGTTCGCTCCCTGTCTCTATCTCATCTTGATTTTAATTCTTCCCTTCAGAGTGAGCCGCACTGCGACGCCCATCTTTCAGGGATACCAATTACGACAGTTGTTGATAGGAGTGAAAATCTTGAAAGTGATAGTCATGAGTATGATGAGCTGAAGCGGTGTAATCTTCCTGTAAGTACAGAGAAATGTGTTCCACTAGAAGCTAATGAAGAGACTGAGTGTCTCCAGAACATTGTAGAAAAAAGTGAGGAACATCTAGCTAGCTTGATGGAACATATAAATGAGCATGTTACTGATGAGATGCTTGGGCTTGATGAGGAAATGGATGAGCAAACAGTTGGGGAAAGCAATTTGGACAAAGAACCGGAAATTACTTCAGCAGAGATTGTTATCAATAATCTTCCGCAACCAAGTCCAGTTTCAGTTCTTCTGAACTGTATCCAAGAAGATGAAATCAGCCCTACTGATCTTCCAACCTCAGAAGGTAAACAATCATGGCCAACTGCTATCCAGTGCACTTCAAACATTTTTTATGCAGAAATGCTAGATACCCACAATATTTATACCCAAATTCACCCACAATGATATGGCAACGGAGTTGGGCCTTATATGGTTGAGTTTGTGACAAATCAGAAGTTGACACGTAGCATGCCATGTCATTGTGGGTCAAATTAGGGGAAGGCTTTTTAGGGATCCCAAACATTTTCCTTTTCTTTTCTTTTCTTTTTTTAATGCATGTTACGAAACTTCCTTGGATAGCATTTGGGTTGTTAGATAAGTTAACAATCCATTTGGTTTTAATAAAGCTAGGTTGTTCCCCTAATCCTAAGCTATTTCTTGTTGAGATGTTGTTTAGGTTTAATAATAGTGTCTTCATCTTCTTCTCTTTTATTATTATCATCATGAATTTTACCACATGAGATGGAACTCTTAACTAAAAACCCATAGTTTGACATTGAAAGAAAATCTAAAATTTTCTATGAAACTTCTTCCAAGTATGATTGAAACTGGCAGTTGATTGTTTCTTTTATGTTGTACTAGGTTTGGAGCACAGATGCAATTTTGCTGATGAGAAAGAATCTTCAGTTGACTCACAATATAGGTCCAAGAGTGTTAAGAATCACAGTCGTATTGAATTATGTACAAATGATAATGCTGACTTCAATTATGTGAGTGATATTCTTGAGTGCTCGGGCTTCAATGAAAATGGCTTCCATGGACCATGGTATTCACAGGACCAGCCATTGAACCCTTTGGTGTTTGACGAAGTGGAAGATTGCTGGCCTCATGAATCCCAACATTATGAAGAGAAAATCTATGCCTGTTTTCATCACCAGCTTCTGTTTGATATAATCAATGAGGTTTTACTCCAGATATATGATAGTTCTTTCCCATACTACCCAAAAGCATTGTCCTCCAATTGTCGCATATGTCCAATGCCAGTGAGGTACCACGTTCTAGATGAGGTCTGGGCAAGAATTAGCAAAACCCTGAGCTTGAGGCCAGGGGCTGATCAGTCAGTGGACCATGTTGTCTCTCATGATTTGGGGACAGATGATGGGTGGATGAACCTCCAGCTGGAATCCGAATGTGTGGCTCTTGCGCTGGAGGATATGATTTTTGATGAACTTTTGGAAGAAGTAATGTGTTCTTGAGATTCTTGGGGCCATATCAGGTCGCAATTTTCAGGGTCGTCTTGTATTTTTTTCCAGGCAAGCCTCGTTACACAAAGTTTTGCGTTAAGTCCATTGTGTGTAAATAGTGTGTTCTTGTAGTATAGGAAACTCTACGGTCCATTTGAGTGTGAAAACTTTGTAGGGTTAGGGAAAAGATGAAAACTTGGAATCCAACAATAGCTATCCCGGCTGCTACATGTTATAGGATTCCAAGCTTTCTTTTTATTTGCTATTCGAGTATTTGTTGCCAACATTCATAGAGTTATAGTTGATATGAATGTATAGGATGGCTTCTATAGTTGTTGATTTTTGTTATAGAGAAAATTAGTTGATTTCTTGTTTAACGTAATTGATTGAAGTTTTGTAGTTCCCCAATGTGTTCTTGTAGTTTTGAGTTGTTTAAGGTTGTTGGATTTCTTTATTAAGGAGACTCTGTTTCGAGATCATTGTTGGATTTCTTTGTTAATGAAATAATAATTGGAGAAAGTGAGAGAAGATAGAGATGAGCGAATAGAGAGAGAGAGAGGCACAATTGTTTCTATAAATTGTATATATCAATTACACAAAGAAGGCACTCTATTTATAGAGGATGCCTTGGATGCCTTGGATGATTGCCCACCGAAAGGTGCTACACTATGAACAATTAAATAATAATACACTAACATAATGCTACACTATGAACAATTAAATAATGATACACTAACATAATGCTACACTACACTAATAAACACAATGATGATACACTAATATACACTAACAGCCCCCCGCAAGCTCAAGGAGGGAAAGCATCAACCAAGTTGAGTTTGGAAACAAGAGCATTGAAGCGGCCAGGAGGATGAGCCTTAGTGAAGATATCAGCGGGTTGATCGACGGAAGCTATAGGGAGAAGATGAACAGTACCACAGGTAACATGCTGGCGAATGAAATGACAATCAATCTCAATATGTTTGGTGCGATCATGAAAAACATCATTGTGAGCAATCTGAATGGCACTCTGATTGTCACAATAGAGAGGGGTAGGATCAGAAGAAGAAACACCCATATCAGCAAGAAGCCAACGAAGCCAGAGAAGTTCCTGAGTAGTATCAGCAAGAGCTCGGTATTCAGCTTCGGTGCTAGAGCGGGCAGTGAGGGATTTTTTTTGCTACACCAAGCAAGAAGAGAATCCCCTAAGAAGAAGCAGAATCCCGTGGTGGAGCGTCGATCCGTAGGATCCCCAGCCCAATCAGCATCGGAAAAGGCACGCAGTTCAAGAGAGGAGGAAGCAGAGAAGTGAAGACCATGGAACAGAGTGCCTTTGAGGTAGCGAAGGATGCGGAGTAGAGCAGTATAGTGGGGAGTGCGAGGAGCCGACATGTACTGATTGACAATGTGAACAGCATATGCAATGTCAGGACGAGTTACTGTGAGATAGACAAGGCAGCCGACGAGTTGGCGATAAAGAGTAGCATCAGAGAGAAGAGTCCCATCAAGAGGAGTGAGACGAAGCTGAGGATCAACTGGAGTAGTGGTAGTTTTGCAATCAGTCAGACCAGCACGAGCCAGAAGATCGGATGCATATTTGGCCTGGGACAAATAGGAACCAGTAGAATCATGAGAGACTTCAAGGCCTAAGAAGTAGTTAAGAGTACCAAGGTCCTTCATCTCAAACTGGCGGTGGAGAAACTGTTTGAGGTGGAGAATACCAGCTTCATCATTACCAGTGATAATCATATCATCCACATACAGAAGAAGAAGAAGAGTGGTACCATGAGAAGTAGTCCGGATAAAAAGAGCAGAGTCATAGAAGCTAGAGGTGAACCCGAAATCATGAATGGTAGAACTGAACGTAGCAAACCAAGCACGAGGTGCTTGCTTGAGGCCATAGAGAGCACGCTGTAGTTTGCAAACCTGATAAGGGGGAAAAGTGGACCCAGGTGGAGGTTGCATGTAGACCTCCTCAATAAGATGACCATTGAGGAAAGCATTTTTGACATCCATCTGAAAGAGCCCCCAGTGGCGAGCAGCAGCAACAGCAAGTAAAGACATCCATCTGAAAGAGCCCCCAGTGGCGAGCAGTAGCAACAGCAAGTAAACTGCGAACAGAGGTTAGCCGAGCAACAGGAGAGAATGTCTCCTCATAATCAATGCCATATTCTTGGTTGAAGCCCTTGGCAACAAGACGAGCTTTGTAGCGTTCAATAGAGCCATCAGAATGTGTTTTGATTTTGTAAACCCATTTGCAGCCAATTGCAGTCTTGCCAGGAGGAAGATCAACAAGATCCCAAGTATGAGCTTTGTCCAAGGCATGGAGTTCATCAGTCATAGCTTGCTGCCAAAGAGGATTAGTACAAGCCTCACGATAGGAGGTAGGTTCATAAGTAGAGAAGGCAGCAGATCCAACAATATAATCACGAAGATGGATAGGAGGTTGAGTTACCCGGCGTGGTCGACCCGTAGGAGGATCGGTGGGAGGAAGAACCGGTGGAGAAAGAGGTGTGGCAATAAGAGGTAGACCTTCAGGGAAAGCAGGCTGGACAGGATCAGGAGTGAGCAAGGGCGTCTCGATGGAGGAGGAACCTGTATCAAAATCAGCAGAGAAAAGATCTACAGAAGGATTAGTAAACAGTATAGTAGTGGAGAGTGCGGGTAAGTGAAAAGAGGATAGCGAGGAAAACATTTGGTGCTCCCAGAAAACGACATGGTGGGAGATACGAAGACGTTTAGAGAGAGGATCCCAACAGCGAAAACCTTTATGTTCAATTCCATACCCAAGAAAGCAACAAAGACGAGAGCGAGGTTCAAGCTTGGTGTGTTCATGGGATTGAAGTAAAACAAAACAAGCAGAGCCAAAAACCCGGAGATTGGCGTAAGGAGGGGGAGTGCCATGCAGACGTTCAAAGGGAGTTTGATTATGGATGACAGGGGTAGGAGCACAGTTGATAGTGTAAACAGCAGTGAGAGCAGCTTCTCCCCAAAAGTTTTCAGGACAGGAAGAAGAGAGAAGGAGAGCGCGAGTAGTGTCAAGAATATGCCTATGTTTCCGTTCAGCACGGCCATTTTGCTGGGACGTGCCAGCACAAGAACGATGAGGCAGTGTACCATGATGCTGAAGAAAGGAAAGGAAATCAGAATCCCGATATTCCATAGCATTGTCAGAGCGAAAAATTTTGATGGTTTTGGAAAATTGGGTGTGGACCATTTGGGCAAATCTATAATAAATGTGTTTAAGTTCAGACCTAGTTTTCATGAGAAAAAGCCAAGTAAACCGGGAAAAATCATCAATAAAAACAACAAAATAGCGGGATCCCCCCATAGTAGTAGTAGGGGAGGGCCCCCAAATATCCGAATGTATAAGATCAAAAGGGGCAAGAGAAACAGAAGTACTCTTATTAAATGATAAAGCAGGTTGTTTGGCAAGTTGACAGGGTATACAATCGAAATTATCGGGAATTACATGACCCAACTGTCCACTAGAAACCAAAGACCTTAAACGAGTAACAGAAATATGCCCTAAGCGACAATGCCAAAGATGAAAGGGAGATAATAAGGAAGTAGATGTAGGAGCAGCAATCTGAGGAGAGGCAGGAACATGAAGGTGAATGAGTTCATAGAGACGTCCACGCTTACGGCCGATCCCAATAGTCTGCCCCGTCTGAGGGTCCTGTACCAAACAATCAGTAGCAGAAAAGGTGACAGTTAGACCAAGTTCACATAATTGACCAATGGAAATAAGGTTTAAGGTAAGAGCAGGGATATGATAAACTTGAGGGATAGATAAAGAAGAGGTGGAAACAGTACCAACATGACGAACAGACATGAGGGAACCAATTCCCGGAAGCAGCAGCAGCAGTGGGATGAGGCTGATTCCTAGAAGCAGTAGTAGCAGTGTGATGAGACTGATTCCCGGAACGATGAAAGCTTCCCCGGGCAGAGCCACCGCGAGAGGAGTGGCTATTGGACGATGATCGGGATGGATTGCGAAAACAATCCTGTTGCAGATGACCAGGACCAAGTTTGTTGCAGTAGCGGCAGGATCTGACGGGGCAATTGACCAGGAGATGGGTTGAAGGAAGACCCCGATTCTGACAATAGAGGCAAGCAGTGGTCCGTTGGGTAAATGATGGCCGGTACGGAGGAGTGGCCAGAACAGAGTCCACATGATGAGTTTGAAGAGTACCGAGACGCGTCTCCTCTGATAGCAACTCAGAAATTGCTTGTTCAAGAGTGGGCAATGGATGGCGATGAAGCAGAGAGGCACGTACGGGCTCAAAGGAGGAAGTAAGAGCCATGAGAAAGTGCACCAATCTTTGCTGGTTGCGATAGATAGTAAATAAAACAGCATCTTCAGGGGTATGCCAAGTTGGTTCTGAAAGAGCAAGCTGATCCCAAACAGAGTACATTTGAGAAAGGAATTCATTAATGGACTGAGTGGATTCTTGGCGCATGCGGTGAAGTTGGTTCTGAAGTTGATATTGGTGGGCAAGACCAGTAGTCTGGTATCGTTCTTTCAAGAAATCCCAGATGTCTTTTGCAGGAGTAGTTACAGAGTCAAGCTGAAAGCGACCAAACTGAAGACTGATAGATGTAACAGAGGTATTACGAAACCAGGTAATGATTTGGTAATTCTTACTGTCCCATTCCTCAAGTCGGTCTTCAAATGTAGCAGTAGGAACAGTAGTTTCATTAGTGTCACTGTCTTTCACCGGTTTAGTCACATCCCCGGTAACAATTCGCCAGAGCTTCTTCCCTTTTAGGAAGGAGGACATGGCTTGGGCCCACAGAACATAGTTTGAACCATTCAAAATAACGGAAATAGGATGGGAGGCATCATGACGATCCATAATACTAGTTGAATAGGGTTTAAAGTAATATGATAGACCTGTAGGAGCAAAATTAGGTAAAACAGAGTGTACCAGTGAGTCCGAAAGGTCGAAAATAACCAGGAAAGGTATGCTGGACAGAGATGATGTCAGCAAATATGTCAGCGGCGCACGTTAGCAGAGTGCAGGAAGGAACACGTTAGCAGGAAGCGGCGGTGCACGGTAGCAATCAGGCGCAGACGCGGCGCACGGTAGATGATTCGGCGCACGCGGGTGCACAATAGCAGGTGCGGCGTACGGGAGAGGCAGGGCTGACGTCAGCCGCGGGTCGTGTGGGCGCGTGTAGGCGCGTGTCGGAAGGGAGAAACGACGGATGGCGCGTGTGAGAGTGGTGGCGGAAATGGTGACGCGCAGTGGACACTGGTGGCGCATGTGGGCGTGTGAAAAGTTTTCTGAGGCCGGGCTTGGTGCCGTTGGAATCGTGAGGAAATTCCGAGTGGTTTGATGTAGTGCCGCTGTGGATGGGACTAAACACCACTATGAATTGTATGTATCAATTACACAAGAAGGCACTC